TTTAAACATAAAAGGAAGATTTGAAGAGAAATAGAAGATTTCCGCAGAAGAAAAGGAAGGATCGAGAAGAATGGAAAGTTCCCGATTTAAGCCAAATCTGGGCGAAATGGAAAGATCGGATAGCCAAGATGAGGAGTATATAAAGAGGAGGTCTAGGGCAGAAGCAGAGACACGAAATTCAGAGCTCTCACCACCAAAACTAGCATTTAGGAATATTTCCGTTTTTCTGTTAGCGAACTGCGTCTCAATTAGGGTTTTCTAGGTCTTACGCTTTCGGCAATTCTTTTTGTACCAGTTTCAACGCAGATTCGGAATAAGAACCTCTTTGCTCTCTGTTTTCGTTTATTCTCATTTAAATTCTAAGTATTTTCGTCATCTTATTTTCGTTGTGCGGTTCTCGCAGATAGCCGGTTCCTCTGGAAACTTAGGGTTTTCCCGAAGTTTCCTTTTTTACGATTTATTTGACAGTAGGGTGAAATCGACTCCCACAACAAGCGATCCTATAGTTGGTGCTAATACCACTAACCTATTCAAACCCTAATTCTAACAAGTGAATTACTCAGACATGGCTAAGCAATTCATAACACAAGCAAGGTAAATAAACTGCATAATATAGATAGATAGAAACAATGGAGTTCCAATCACAAATCTCTTTGTTGATCTTCTCTCCCAAACTATAAACCCTAAAAACTTTTGCTGTGAAAGGAATACAAAAAAAAACTATATCTGCCTCTAACACTTTGGCAGAGTATATAAACTTAGGTTAAAACTCGTCAGGTTAAAATCGTCATTTGGTGAAGTTTGGACTTCAAGTCGGCTGTCTCGCGAATTGGTCTTCCGCGCCTTCGACATCGATCGATTATGCAGAGTGCATATTAATCAACGTGAGTCACTCCATGTCGACCTCGTCATCTTGGTCGATTCCGAAATCGACTGATTTCTCCAATTCTCTCTAAAATACTCGAAAAACATCAGTTTCTTCCAAAATACTCTTGAACCTTTAAATATGTTTAAAAACTTCTATAATATAATAAATAATAATAAAAACACCAGTATACCATGACTAAATGTGGGTCAAAATCATTGAATATCAATATTCACCTAATTACTATATTATTGTGGGATTTTGGCCCAATTCACCATCTATTTTTACAAAATCTCATCAAAATATACAAAATCTTAAGAAATATAAAGATAATTTCATTTTCAATATAAAATAAATAATATAATGGTTAGATTATACTTATGTAAATATATAAGTATAAATTATTAATTTATATTCTAATAGGTTCACATATTAACATCGAATTTTCAAAAAAGATAATTATCTTATTATTTTATTGATTCATGTCATATTTTAAACCGATATAATTTGGAACTGAAAAATTTTATTAATTTATATTTTTTATTAATTTATCGAATGTTAATTTATAGAAAATTTATTTATTAATTTATAGTGTTTTATTATTTTATTGATTCATGTTATTGCAGTAGGAATCAGTTGCTTATATGATTTTCAGGCCACTGCATGTGATTATTACTACTAAGATTCGAACAATAAATTTGCTTTGACCATATTTACAAAATAACTTAATAGTTCAAATATATAAATACATATCATTAATTTGTATGGATCAACATGGAAGATCAATTAAAAGAAAATAATATAGAAACGGAAATTTGTGATTCCCCAAGACTAAAAGTTATATAAATAGAGCTTTTCTACAATACCGAAAAGCAAGAACATATTTTTCTTGCTATGTTTTATACAAAAGAAAAAATTATGGAGGTCACAAAAAATTTGGTGATTTTTTCTCTTACTGTGATATTAGTAGCTTCAGTGTTTAACAACAACATTTTGGCTTCAGGTATGTTGAAATTATAGAGTTAACAAAGATATTTTACTGTAGTTATTTTCTACGTTAGACATAATGGTTAAAGGAAATAATTGTAGAATTAACAAAGATCAAACATGTTTTATGAGTTTTTCGTAGGTGAAGACATCGGCCCAATTGAGAAATGCCTTGATAATTGTACGAACAGTTACACACTGGATATGTGCTTTTCTGACTGTGTTAAAGAAGGGTTTCAATATGCGGAATGTGTTGTTCCTGCTCCTAATACCCCTTCAAGATGTTGTTGTTTTAAAGATGTTGTTGTTTAAAGAGTGATTGATTAATAATGAAATTTTCTAGTTCTTGATTAATAATAAATTCAACAAAATAAAGATTGTCTCATTATAATGCATATCACAGGGCCATACCTGACATTTACAAAGTTAGAAGCAAGAAAAAAATTGGCCCCATAACTTAATGTAAAAGTATTAGCTAAAATAAAACAAAACAGCAAACTGGTCGCTCGTACCCGGGGAAATTGAAGAATAACTAAATAAATGCTCCAAGCACCATCTCGACTACCTAATTATTTTAGAGAATTGGCCCATAAATTTATTTTAAACTTTGGCCCTTAAGCACATGCTTGATAAACCTATATTCAGGCACGGCCTGTGCATATGTTAAATTATTATAAACTGTGAGGTTTGGTCAAAGTCCATCAGGCGTGTTCAACTTGGGCCGGCTTTGGACAAGTTATACGCGGACAACTTATGGGCTATTCATTAAAGCCCATTAGGTTAAGTGGTGACAATACAAGGAGGAAGAGATTACGACAGGGATCTCCAAGCACAAGCTAAGCCTCTTGGAGGCTGAAGCCTCAAGCCTCAGAGGAGTGCTTCCATGGCATCTCTTAGAGAGATAGAGTAAGCTAGATATCGATTTGTATTCTAGTCTTAGCTCTTAGCCATGTAATCTCTTGTACTATCTCTTGTATACTCTCTAGGGTTTGCATACCCAGGACAGAGAGAGTAATGATCTTGTAAACCACGTCGGAGGTGTTTTCCGATACTTCATAGTGGATGTTGTGGATCTCTGAATCCACCCCAGAGGTAGTGCGCTGCGGCCGTGAACTGGGTGAAAAAGTCTTGAGTCATGAACAAGCTTTAATGAATCATATGAGTAGGTCCAGAGCTTAGCTTCCGTAACAAGTGGGTATCATAACAGTACAAATGGTATCCAAGCGCCAACAAAGTGGTATCAGAGCTCAGACTCATCGATTCGCGGAGTCCACGTCTCTAGGAGGAGAGACATATGAAGGAGCTTCCAAGCGATAAAGAAGAATCGCATGGTTTAGTGGAAGCTGGTGGTCACGTGGTTCAACACACGTGGAAATCTGGTTAGTGCAAAAATCAGAGGATATACCGAGATCAAGATCATGTTAAAGAGATTTTCGTTTTACAAGAAGCGAAGGAAAACTGTTGAACGTTCTTTGCGGCGGTTGCACAAGTTTAAAAGATTCAGAAGTCAGTTGAATTGGTTGAGAGGATTTCTAGTTTGAAGTCAGGGTTCTCTAGAGTTCTCTAAGGGTGCAAGAACGTGCTACTATGTGAGAAGGACTTCAGGTTACTCACAAGATAAGATGGTGTCAGGCTGGTAACATAAGAAACAGAGGTTTCAGAGCTGTCCAAGATCTGCAGTCACAAGACTTGTGTGACTATATGCATTGGAGTTTCGGGTTTCTTCATGGTATGCAAGTTATAATGGCTGTTTGAGTATCAGATGGTATTCTTTAGTCATCGTGAAGGGTGTTGCAGAAGGGTTGAAGTAAATCAGCTGATGCATGGTTTGTCTAGGTATGATTGTGAGAGTCTACAATTGGGTAGATGTTCAGAGAACAAGATACTACAAGACTGCTATTTTCAGAGGGAATGCAGTGTGGTTTTCTAAGCAGATATGTGTTTGGCGTAACACATAGTTTTCTGCTGGGATGGAACTGCGAGAACGAGGAGTTATTTGTTCAAGGCAGAGTTCGGCTGAACAGGTGGCGGTGTCAAATCAAGATTGTTTCGGGTTTTCTGCGTGGGATTCAGTAGTAGTTTGTTTTGGCTTCTCAGGCATATGAGAGGAAACAAATGGGTCTACAAGGTATCACGGTTGTAGAGAGGTAATGGTTTGTTTGAGCAAAGGTTGAGTAGGGATTCTTTGCGTCGAAAGACTTCTTAGCAAGTTGAGCTAAGCGGCGGGTTCTGTTGGCAACAACAGCGGTTCAGAGAGTGTTCAAGACAAGGTGTTCATTCAGGTTGTTACAAAAAAAAAAAAAAAAGAATCTCAAGAGAAGAAGTTTGATGTCTACAGGCTATTGAGGTTTGTTATGGTATTGAGTCAAAGGGCTTCTGGTTTTAGGCAGTGGTGATTCAGGTTCCGTAAGAGCTTCAAGGTAGCATCGACATCAGCTGGATAAATTCTGAAGAAGAAGAATCAGTAGATTTGTAGTCACAATCACATCATGTGTGACGAACCACAGATGATGCTTAAGATATGCAGCATCAGAGAGAAAAGCAGATGGCGGTTGTTTTGTGGTAGACAAAGACGACGTCAGGAAGGGACAGATGAAGAAACGTTCACAGGAGGATCTAAATGCATGTGATGGTTTCAGGTTTGGGAATCATGATGAGAAACTTGCAAGGGATGCAGCGGAGTTTGCAAGAAAGGGAAGACCCGCGCAAGCTGCAGCAAGAATAGCTGCACAGGTGGGTGTGTTCGTGATTAGTGTTGGAGATTGATTTGAGTCGTTTGGGATGGAAGATATCTCAAGTTAAAGACAGATTCATATTAAGTCAAAGCTAGGCTTAAGGAGACGGAATCAAAGGTCATCAATCTCTCAGAAATTCAAGGTTTTTCAGAGATCACAAGGAATGCAGGTTATATTTCGGAAAGATGATCAACGGATCTTGCAGCTGCACAGGTTGGTTGTCGTGTGGCAACAATATGACAAAACAGAGGTGATTTTGTTTTGGGTCAGTTCAAGTCAGACTCGGGGGTGCATGAGAGGCAAAGTTTCTGGCTACTAGAAGAAAGCCAGAGGAGTCACCAAGTTAGTGTGGCTAAGACAGGTTGTACCTCCACGAAGAAGCAACTAGAGCAAGGACAAAGTGTGTAAAATCCTACACAAGGGTATGTTGGAGCAAATGGCTATTTGTGGTAACAACATGGAGCAGCTTTAGTGAGGTCGTGTGAGTGACAGGAAAACCTAAGAGAAAAGGCGATTCAAGGTTAGACTTATCTTAAAGATTCTTGTCAAAGGCAGAGGAAAATGCGCAGGCAGAATCGGGTTGAACAGGTTGTTACGACTGATTGTAACCCTGAGAGTAAAGGGTATGAGACAACAGTCATCAACACTTGTTCAAGAAGCAAGAAGTCGCTACCACAGCTAGTAGAAGCATGTGTGAGTTATACCTTAGAGGAATCGTCATGGATGTCTGAGTCGGAAGTTCAAGATGAATAGATTCAGAGGAGAAGTAAGGGACACCGTTCTGGTGTCACGACCAGAGGGGTCAATATGGAGCTCTCGGACAAAAAAAATCGAAGCTCATAAGCAAAATGAGAAATTTGCAGACTTGACCAGGTCGGAACTTCTTGCTTGAACATGTTACGGTTCAAGTATAGTTACAGCTGGAGAAACTCGTCATGGGTCCGAGTTTGACACAAGAGAAGCTGTAAGGATTATCTCAGGAGCATCACAAACGTTGATGATGAGAGAAATTGTTAAAGGCCGACAGGAACCACGAACAGTTGCAGAAACTTGGTTATTTTCAGAGACATGGTACTTCTAAAGGTTATTTGATTCAGGTGGAGTCATTGAGATTATATGAGGTATGATGCATCATGGATATATAATCTGATTCTATGTGGAGTGAGTCACAGGTTCTCTGTTTTAGAAGATGTCTTGATTGTTTCAGTTGAAGGGTAAAAGTTTCGGTTAGCAACTTGGTCAGCTCAGGAGTAAGAGCTGAAAGGGAACTTGATTCCATGATAAGAGGGTCGTGGATAGGTTCAAGGTGTCAAGGCCAGAAGTGTCAAGATCAGTTAACAAGTACAAGGCGCATCAGAAGGAGTTTGTAAGAGGAGTCTTACATAAGGTTACTTGTAGCAAGACAAGTGAAAACGGCATATGTATCAAGAGTATACTGCAGTGAAGGTGATACAGAGGATCCGAGTATGATGCAAGGTAAAACATGGTGAAGTACTTAGTTAAACTGAAGTATTGAGCAGTGAAGATGAAGAATGGTGAGATGAAACAAAGTAAGAAGCTGTGGGAAGACATTGCAGGGATTGCAGGGAATTGTCTTACAGTTTGTCCATCTCAGGAAGGGTAAGACTTGCTCTCCACAAGCAAGCTCATCTTAAGCTCAATTCATGGAACTGAAAGAAGCTTCATGAAGGTTTAAATGCAAAGCAAAACCGATTGCATTTAAAGAAAGGAACATATGGAGTTCAAGATATATGTTCGCATCACAGGGGAAGATTGAGGAAGTCTCTTCAAGGTTCAACGAGTAACAGGTGTGTTCAGGTCGTTGATGGTGATGCACAGGTTTCGGTTTTTTGGAGACATCTCAGTACAAGAAGGGTATTGAGGGAATGAATTCACAGCTAAGTAAAGGAGGGATATCAGAGATTCTAGATAAGATATCACAGTCAGCTCGTGAAGTAGAGCCAAGGCGTATCATGGACTAGGTGGTATAAGGCTCAGTTCATTCAACTAGCAGTGGAGTCTAAATCTGTTAGTGCAGGTTCTGTTGTTGCAGAACAAGTTGATCAGATGGTGGAGCAAAGATATTTGTGTCGATAGTCTTCCTAATCATGTGGTTTTAGGCGGCGTGTCCTGCTAAGTGTGCAGCAGTACAAAGTGATGCTCAAGTGCAGTCTGTTCAAGAACATCAAGGGTAAGTCAAAGACTGTTTCAGAGATATGGAGCATGAGTGACTTCAAGGTTTGCGGTTGATTCTAAAGGTTTCAGTGTGACATCAAGGTTCTGTTAAAGCATGGGGGTTTCACCAGATTGTGTCGAAAGTTTGTCCAGCAGTGATGGTTGGATGGCGTGTTATGTTCAGAGTAACAGCGGTACAAAGGTGTTAAAGGCTGCAGCGTTTTAAACAGGTACAGAATCAGAGGTTGTTTCAGGTCTGAAGCATATATGGTTTGAAGGTTGTTGCACAGTATTCATGGACTTTGATTCAAGGCTCAGTGCACATGAGTAGAATCGAAAGGCCGAGGAGAAAATCAATTTGCAGAAAGATGTTCAAGTTTCTGTTCAAGCAGTTGAACAGGT